TATTCAGGATATAATACAGTATATATAACACAACATTTTATTTACATGTCGCGCGCGCGCGCGCAGCAAGATATAAGACCAGCATACTGAACTGCACACACAGGAATCTAATGCATACACTATCACATACCACTTTTATTCAGTCCTAATCAATCTCCTTAAAAGCATATACAAGATGATAGATAAACAGAGAGTCACACTTATGGTAATTAACAACAGATGATTATATATTGCTGGTGAGATGTTCTTTTTCGGTCCTCATGTGCTCTAAGAATGACTTCCCTTGCTGCTTACTAGAGAAGAAATCATTCATATATTTCTCCATTCCAACCCTTTTGAACAAGGGAGGATTTTCTGGGCTTATAAGACTCATTGCAGGTCCAATTTCAGACTCAAGTTTGGCGAGGAAGAACAAAGCCATGGAGATCCTTTCCTTGTCTGAGTTCACTGTTGCCCTGTGCTCCACACTTTTGTACACGCCATTGCTCATAATCTGCACAACCACGAAGGGTTTTTTAACTGTAACTAGCATGCATGTAAACTTTAACAGTAGGACTGAACGATGATGATGATGATGATGAATGATGAGAAATTAACCTCGAGAATGTCTCCAACATTGACAACAAGGGCGTTAGAGAGGACGTTCACAGGAAGCCAAACGCCATTTTTCTTAACCTGAAGGCCACTCACTCCATTGACCTGGTTCAGGATAGTGATTCCTGTAGCATCTGAATGAGCACCAAATCCCATCACCTGCTCTGGTTTTGGGCATGGAGGATAGTATGTCATCCTCACTGATTGCATCCCATCCTCAAACAACTGCCTCATCTCTCTCTCCTCCATTTTCAGATCTATTTCCAGCAGACCCAGAAGTGTCATTCCTAGATTATGCACCTTTTGTATGTATAAATCCAAGACAGTCCTGCACATATACAATAATCAAAGTCACAGGCTAGTTTGGTATGCTCCTGTGGGGTGGGCTATAGAATTAATTAGATTTAAGATTTTTATTTTATTAAAATGATCTTAAGATTTGATTTGAACAAATGTAATATTTTTGATTACTATGTTATCTTTTAAATTATTTGATAATATTTGCATTTAAATATTAGGATTTATAGAATATCCTTTTAATATTATGTTACTTTTTTTTTGGCTCTTTTTTAGGATTAAATCAAAGGAAGAATCAAATGAGTAGAAGAAGGCAAGGAAAATATGAAAAATAATTAAATAAGAAAATGAAGGGAACAAAATAATGAAAAAAGTAAGTAAATATGATAAAATGGCTTAAGATGAAGGAACATGAAAATAATCAAAAATAGAGAAAAAAGAATTAGGAAACGAAACAAGTAACCAAAGGAACCAAAATGAATAAATGATGGGATATAGAATAAATGCAATCTTTTATATTACTATGTTATCTTTTAAATTATTTAGAATATTTGCATTTAAATATTAGTGTTTATAGAATATTATGATTTTAATACTTTTATTTTTAGGGTTAGGTTAATGGTAGTTTTGTACGCCTTTTAAATACATAAAAATTGATATTGATTTGTTTTTCTATGAGTGTCTCTCTATGTTTCTATCCTCCTTCTACCTTTACACTCTTCTGTCACTTCCCTCTTTTCTTATCTTCTATATCTATTCCTTATTATCTTCTTCATTCTCCTTCCCAATTCTGCATCAATTTGACTCCTTTGCTACTTATTTCATTTCTCAATTTCTTTTTCTTATTATTCTTGATTATTTTTATTTTCCTTCATCTCAAGTCATTCTATCATAGTTATTTCTTTTTGCTATTATTTTGTTTCATTCCATTCATTTTTTATTTAATTATTTTTCATATTTTCTTTGCCTTCCTTTTGAATTTCTCTCTTCTGTTTCTATCCTGTTTCTATCTTTACCCTTTTCTGTCTCTTCCCTTTTCTCTTATCTTCTGTCTATTCCCTATTATCTTCTCCCTTCCCCTTCCTTACGCTGACATGCATCTTTACTTCTTGATATATTCAAGATATCATGATTAAGATTGAGTGTGAATCAAACATGTGAATATTTGCATGATGAGAGAGAGAGAGAGAACCTGAGGGATGAAGGGAGCTCTGGGAAAAGATACGGTTTTCGTTTGTGGAGGGGGTTGATGGTCATATAGAACCTATCACACCAATCTTGTTTCTGATCTTGTGATCCAATTACGGTTCCATAGCCTTCAACATCACCTGGCCTTATCTTGTACTTTATCTTCTCTTGCAGTGGCAGCCTGAAAAATCCTTCAATCTCGTTTCTTATCTTCTCTTGCTCCTCCTCGCTGATTCCATGGTTCACAACCTGCTCACATAAAATATCATGAAAATAAGAAACAATCAAGAAGCACAAACTAAAAGAACTGTGCAATTGATATTCTAACGCTTTATACACGGCGGTGATCATCATGTTCCTTTGAACTCAGCAAGAGAATAATGTGAGGTTGGGATCAAACAAGCTTCAAATCAAAGAGAAACGAAACAGCAGAAGGCGAATTCTAACCTGAAAGATACCCCAGTCTCTACAAGCTGAGTGCAATTTCTGGAGCTCAGTCTCTGTGTTTTCTCCAGAGAGCAAGTGGTTCATGTCAAGAATAGGTATTGGTGCTGCATCAGTGAGGGTTTCAGAGAGCTGACAATGATCTTCACGAATGTAGCGTTTAGGAAGAGAGAGAAGAGGATTCTTAACGAGCTCTTGCACACTCAACGAAGATGGATCACAGATTATCAAGTTTGCAGGCAAAGACGATGCCATGGCTATCTTCTGCACGCGCACTGTACAAGGCACTATTGTGGGCGAGGCTAGAGGCTACAATATATATATATATATATATATATAACGAAACATGCATAATATATGTAGTTGTTTATTACTGTTTGGTTTTGTCTTCAATTATTTATGGACAAGCCATACTATTTATTTATTTGTCTATATAATGCAGAGGACCCATACTAGTTTTATAAAAAAAATAAAAAAACTAATAAATTTAGATGGTTTAGTTTATGTTAATGATCTAACTTTATTTAAATTATAATTATTTTTTGAATAAAATAAATGAATTTATTTTCTTCGCTTTTCTAATTTGACAAGAAAATTATTCATTAATTGGATTTTCATGTTCAATTTATTAGAGCCTAAATCTTAAAAAATTATTAAGTAATTGTTTTTAAACATTAACATTTGAATTAAATGTTATTTTGAAAATATACATATTTTTAAAAATATATTGTCATAAAATTACATTTTTAAAATCTGTAATTATATATTATCTATTTTTTAATAAAATTATAAATTTGTTTGATTCAAATTTAACAATTATTCCAAAAGGTTATTTTTTAAAAAAGAAGGTAAGTACATCCACGTTTAATAATGATAGTTAGATGCAAAATTAATATGTAAATATAAAGCATAAAAGTTTAATAATGGGAGTTAGATGTGCACATTAATATGTAACTATAAAAGCATAAAAAGTTATTAATGGTAATCAGACGCATACTTAGTCAACGAGTGGGTGTGAGTCAGCATCATTGAGGGATAAATTGGCATTTGATTAGGGAGTAGATATGCACACAATAAAGGAGGAGATAATTAATCATGATCTATGTAGTGTGGTCCGGTAGATAATATAATGACTAATATTTTATCTTTTTAAGATTGGAAGTTCAAACTTTTTATAAATGAAAAAATTGTATTGGAAGAACTATTATTAATTAGATCTAATAGCTAGTGTTTAGAGTATCAAACAAATATAAATCAATCAAATTACGAGGAAAATAAATTAGAGGCACAGTCTCTCTTTCAAATACATCACCAATTGGCGAAAATAATTTAAATATTGTAAATTAGGGGAAATAGAAAAACATTATTAAAAAATGATGATCACAAGAAAATGATAATTATAGTAAATGTTTGGATGTATACTGTAATATGGCCGGGAGACAATTAAGCATTCATTCATGGCAGATCATATCTGTGATAATTAATTATTAGCTACATGTTTAGCTATGATATTGACTTTTTAAAATTTATTACATGATAAGAAAATAATTGAGTCTATATCGTATATAACACCAAGCGGTGGCTCATATTCAAGTTCAATGAACGCTTACAAATTACATGTCCAAATAGTCGTCTCAAGAGAGAATATAAATATTGTTGTCCAAATAGTCATATATCTAATCTTTTGAATATATGTCCAGATCTCTCACATAATACTCGTTCCTTTCAGCCAGTTATTACTTGTAGAATAGGGTGTGTGTGTGTTTTTCTATTATCTTTGATAACTTAAACGTGCTTAAATTAAAAGCTTATAATTTGTTTGTTTTGAGATGCCTAGTTTGCCCTCACAAAACTTGAATGGTAAGACCAATTATGACCTTGGGACTTGAGAGGGAAAAATTAACTGGCAGAATATAACATAATCTTCATTATTTGTTACACAATTTCGCCCTCATGTGCAGGGGTTTTATGTCCGATGCAAGTTAAAAATGAAAAGTTATATTCTTTTATTTTTTTTCATTGGAAAACGTTTTATAGATTTCTATATGTACGTATACACTTATATACACATGGTTTTAGCTTTTTAACTTTTGGTGTTAAAAAAACATAAGCATGTGTAAGTTATCCTGATTTAATGTGTGATTGTATGTCATAATCTGTTGGGAGAATCATATCTAATAACTACTTAAGAAATTTATTTATAAACAAAAATTGATACGAAATATATTGTTGTCAAAACAGGAATCACTAGTACAAAATATAAAATTTATGGGGTACTTTTTACATCGGTTGGAAGGCAAACGGTGTAAAAAATAAAGGCAGTGGCATAATTATCTTGAATTATGTAACACTTTTTACACCGGGTGTCCAGGCACCCAATCCCTCACCTGGTGTAAAAGTAGTTTTTACACCGGGGTTTTACACCGGGTGCCTGAACACCCGGTGTAAAAAAATGTTTTTTAAATTCATTTCTCCCTTCATTCATCAGTTCCCTCGTCTCCTCCTTCTCGCGCCCTCCCTCTCGTCTCCCCTTCGTCCACCCACTCCCCCTTCCCCTCGTCTTCTCCCTCACCGGCCGCCCTCCCCCCCGTCCGCCCAGCCTTCCCACCTGTCGCCGAGCCCCCTCCCCTCCTCCCTTCGCCGCCCACTCCCCCTCCCCTCGGTCCGCCCAGCCCCTCCCCCTCATCTTGTCGCTCCCCCTCCCCCTCCCCCTCCCCCTCCTCCCCTCGCCGCCCCCTCCCCCTTCCCCTCGGTTCGTCCGGCTGCCCCCTTCCCCTCCCCCTAGGTCCGCCCAACCCCTTCCTTCTCCCCCTCATCCCACCCCGCCCCCTCCCCCTCCCACTACCCCTTCCTCGGCCGCCTATCCCCTCCCCCTTGTCCCGCCGCCCGTCCCCCTCCCACTCCCCCTTCCTCGGCCTTCCCCCTCCCACTCGTCCCGCTGCCCACTCCCCCTCCCCCTCTCCCCTTGCCCACCCCTTCACTCTCCCGCCCCTGCCCCTCTCCCTCCCTCTTGCCCCCCTCCACCACTCCTTCTCCCTCCCTCTTCAGTGTTGAGCCGTTGCTGCAGCTGCCACCACCCAGGTATGTGTTGAATATAAATTTTTAAATTTTATAATGTTTAAATTTAGTTTTTAATGATATTGATTGTTGCTGGGAGTGCTGTTAGTGGCTTCATAAAGCCTCAGGTTGTTGCATGTGATTCATTTATTTGGTTTAAAATTGTTAATTTTTTCGTGTAAAATTTTCTAAAACTTTTGGGAAGTCCAATTTTTAGGGGAGACTCTGTCGAAATTTTTTTGAATTTATTCTTTCCTTTAATTTTTTTAAATTTAGTTTTTAATGATATTGATTGTTGCTGGGAGTGCTGTTAGTGGCTTCATAAGGCCTCAGGTTGTTGTATGTGATCATTTATTTGGTTTAAAATTGTCAATTTTCTCTTGTAAATTTTTTTTAAAAGTCTTGGGAGATCCAATTTTTAGGGGAGATTCTGCCGAAATTTTTTCAAATCTTAATTTAATTAGGAACTTAGTTTTTTAAAATAGTTTGAAGATAATAACATTAGTTATATTCTTTAGGAGGTGACATATGGATCGTAGTTGGATGAATGCTAGACGAACGAGTGACGAGTATGATAATGGGGTGAAAGAATTTTTGGAATTTGCTAAGAAAAATGCTGTTGACAATAGTGAAAGGTTCTATTGTCCTTGTGTTAATTGTTTGAATGAGAGGAGACTAGGTGTTCCCGAAATAAGAGAGCACTTAGTTTGTGATGGGATTTGCAAAAATTATACAATATGGATTTGGCATGGTGAACGATTGGAAAATTATAGTAACACATCTCAATGTGTGGGAGTTGATAATCTTGATGATGAAGTAGAAATGAATGAAGATCGATTAGAGGACATGATCCGTGATGTTGGGGAAGAGGCTTTTGAACGAGCACATGTGTATGATAACTTGTGCACTGACGCAGAGAAGCCTCTATACCCGGGGTGCACTGATTTTAGTTTGTTATCTGGGGTGTTAAAACTAGTTACCTTAAAGGCAAGAGCTGGGTGGAGTGATCAAAGTTTCACATGGTTGTTAGAGTTACTTCAAATAATGTTTCCGAAGGGCAATGTACTACCAAATCGTTATTATGATGCCAAGAAGATCTTGTGTCCAATGGGTATGAAGTATAAAAAAATACACGCATGTCCTAATGATTGTGTGTTGTACAGAAAAGAGCTTGAAGGGGAGGAGAAGTGTCCGAAATGTGAGGCACCACGGTACAAAGAGAAGGGGGCTCCTACAAAAGTCTTATGGTATCTTCCAATTATACCAAGGTTCAAGTTTGTTATGATGCAAAGAACTTGATGTGGCATGCAAATGAGAGGATATCTGATGGAAAACTTCGACATCCAGCCGATTCTCCTCAATGGAAGAAAATTGATCAATTGTTTCCCGAATTTGGCAATGAGCCAAGGAACTTGAGGCTTGGACTTTCTACCGATGGAATGAATCCTTATGGTAGTCTTAGTAGTATACATAGTTCATGGCCTGTTCTTTTGGTGATTTACAATCTATCACCTAAGTTGTGCATGAAACGAAAGTACATGATGCTATCCATGTTGATTTTGGGACCAAAACAACCGGGAAATGATATTGATATTTACCTAAGACCTCTGATTGAAGATTTGAAAGTGTTGTGGGAGGTAGGTGTGGAAATGTTTGATGCAAATCAGAAGGAGAATTTTAAGTTACGTGCTATGATCTTTTGTACTATAAATGATTTTCCTGCATATGAAAATTTGTCTGGTTATAGCGTGAAAGGTCATAAAGCTTGTCCAATTTGTGAAGAAAGCACAAACTACCATCAACTTCAACATGGAAGGAAGACAGTCTACCTTGGCCATCGGAGGTTTCTTAGACGAGATCACCCATATCGTAGATTGAAGAAAGCTTTTCATGGTCACCAAGAACACAATGATGCTCCGGATGCTTTGACTGGGGATCAAGTATATGAACGTGTGAAAAACATTAATATTGTCTTCGGTAAGACTAAAAAGAATACTGGTGCAAAAAGCATATGGAAAAAAAGGTCTATCTTTTTTGACCTCCCATATTGGCGCAATCTTGAAGTAAGGCATTGTATTGATGTTATGCATGTGGAGAAAAACATTTGTGATAGTATTATTGGAACGCTTCTGAACATACCAGGTAAGACTAAGGATGGTGTGAATGCAAGATTGGATTTGAAAGAAATGGGAATACGGGAAGACTTACACCCAAGACCAGAAGGTAAACGAACTTATTGTCCCCCAGCCTCTCATACATTGTGCAAATCTGAGAAAACAAGTTTTTGTGAGTGTTTACATGGAATCAAAGTTCCTTCGGGGTATTCTTCAAATATTATGAAGCTTGTATCTGTGAAAGAGTTGAAACTGGTAGGCTTAAAATCTCATGATTGCCATGTCTTGATGCAACAACTATTACCTTTGGCTATTCGAGGCATATTGAAAGAAGATTTAAGACTTACAATAACCAGACTTTGTTTCTTTTTCAATGCTATATGCAGTAAAGTTATTGATCCCCGTAAACTGGAAGAGTTAGAACAAGAAGCTTGTACTATCTTGTGCCAACTTGAGATGCACTTTCTTCCTACATTTTTTGACATTATGGTTCACTTAATAGTGCATCTAGTAAGGGAGGTAAAATTGTGTGGCCCTGTTTATTTGCGATGGATGTACCCAGTTGAGAGATACATGAAAATACTGAAAGGGTATGTCAGAAATTAATAGTTGAGAAATATGTTGCTGAAGAAGCTATGGAGTTTTGTTCTGATTACTTGTCAAGTACAGAATCAATTGGACTTCCTAAATCTTGTCATGAGAAAAGGCAATATGGTCAAGGCACACGTGGAGTATCAGTGAAGAGCATGAATCATGATGAATTACAAGAAGCACATTTATATATCTTGAATAATATTGATGAAGTTAAAGATTACATATCTTCTCATAAAGAACTTTTAAAGGCAAAAAATTATCGAATGAGAATGACAGAACAAAAGTTGTTGAAAGAGCATAATAGGACTTTTGTGAATTGGTTCAAGCAGAAAATTTTGAATGAAAGTGGTGTTTTGAAACAGTTAAATGGTTGGCTGGAGGTCCTAACTTTGATGTTATATGTTGGAGTGCCTATGATATTAATGGGTATTCCTTTTATACAAAGTCTTTGGATGAGAAGAGTACGGTGCAAAATAGTGGAGTTATGATAATGGCTGAAGCCGTACACTTTTCTAGTTCAAAAGATATGAAACCTAAACTAGCATCCAGGACTTACTTTGGGGTTATTGAAGAGATTTGGGAGGTTGATTATACAAAATTTAGAGTTCCTGTTTTCAAATGCAAGTGGGTTGACGTCAATAGTATTCATGATGATAAGTTTGGATTTACAATGGTTGATCTTAAAAAACTAACTTTTGGAGATGAGCCATTTATTATGGCAGACCAAGCTAAACAAGTTTTCTATGTCACGGATCCAGCAAATAAAAATTGGTCAATAGCACTTAAAGGAAAAAGGATGATTGATAGTAATGACGATCATGAATCAAATTTTGATATTTCTGAAACTCCTAACTTCTCAAGTGGGCTACCAATTTTGGATGTGGTAGATGAAGTAGATGATGAACATGCCATAAGAAGTGATCACCATGAAGGGATATGGGAGAATATCCCTATATGAGTTTAGTTTTTAAATTAAAGTATGTTAATTTAGTTCAATTAAATTTATGTTGTGGGATTGTTTTTCTTAATTATCTTATCTTTGATTATTTTTTTAATTAATTTCATTTATTTGAATTAATAGGAATATGGAGAATCAAGGTGATGACACTCAGAGCCAATCAATTGGTGATGTTGCTCCTAGTGGGGAGCTAAGTCAGGGCACCCCTAGTGAGGAGCCGAGTCAGAGCCAGTCTGTGAGGAGGGGGAGACGTGGCACACGATTAAGAGATCTGACATTAAGTAGGAGTGCTGGGCATAGGTTACCAATTCAATTTGACCGGAGATGGAATCCGATAGGGCCACATAAAGCCAAGTTTGTTAGTTTTCTTGCCTCCTCTCGCGTACCAAGCCTCCTATTGTGTTTGAGGACTGGCTTGATGTGCCAGAACGTGTGAAGGAACAGATTTGGGAAAGTATTCAGGTAAGTAATTAAAAATTAAAATTTTTTATAGTTATATATTATTGGGCAATTATTGATTATTATCTTATGTCTTCATTGTAGCTCACATACGATGTTCCATCTAATCAAGATTGTCGACACAAATTGATTTCTTACTGTGGAACACGTTGGAGAAATTTTAAACTGATCTTGCTAGAAGATATATCTTTATCGAGGTGCCAGAGGGTCAGGCTCGTCCCAATCCTCTTGATACATACCAGTTCCTTGATGAAGATACTTGGGAAGAATTTGTCAGGATTCAGACTTCTGAAAAGGCTATGGTTTGTTAACTTTTAATTTATTTAAGTTTTATTTAGATTTACTTTAATTATAAATCTAAAATTCAATTTATTAATAGGAAAAACGAGCTAAAGGGCGAGAAATTGCTCGGCAGAATCAATGCCCCCACACCTTATCTCGTGGAGGTTATGCTAGAGCTGATGATATACTGATGGCAGAGAAACAGAAGAAGAGAGAAGAAGAAGCCAAGTCTGATCCTTCCATACTCCTTTCTCCACCATCACCTGTCTCTCGAGAGGAGAAATGGAGATATGGACATCAGTACAAGAAAGGAGGCTATACAAGTGAGACAGCACGGGAGATTGCCGAGAGG